ACAGGAGATGAAGGGCCAATCAGAGAACCCATTCAACAACCCATTCACGAGACTGTGTCCGTCAATAAAACTGCATCAATTAGACAGGAATCTTAAAGGAACACGTCAGCTAAATAAAGAAATAAAAGCCAACCCTCATGTCTTTCCCTGAATGAACTTCTTTCAAATAGATTTTTTTAAACAAAAAATGCATGAGGACTGAAGCTATCAAGCTCCATAATAACAAATAAACACACTTGTCTTTGGCTTATGACTCAAACATATTTCACGTCCTCTATCCCAAAAAGCGATTTAATGTGAAAAACAGACCTTTGTTATTCACTGAAAATCTTGAGAGAAGTAGCAAAGTGGAATTTGTGAAAACGGTTTAGATTGAATCAGACTGGGGTGCGTTTCCCGAAAGCATCGTTAGCCAACTATGGTCGCAAGTTCCGTCGTTATCAGCATAGTTCAACGAGTCGGTGTTTCCGGAAACCATCGTTCCAACGAACATTGGCAAACAGCATCGCAAAGCGACCTGTGGTTAGAGGCATCGTTTCTATATTGCATCACATTTGGACGTAATAAATCCTTATTTTGAGCTGACATTGAGTACAACCGATGCCTTTTATTCAGAATACATACAAATGTAATTTACGTCTTTTAGTTTGTCAAAAGATTTAAAGTACCGTGTTTGAAGAGTGCGCATGTGCGAACTTGCTCTATATAGAGCAAAATATTGAGTCTGGTAATAAAGCAAAATAACTGAGAACAATTAGAAATAGTCCTCAGATGTCTGTAATTTATATAAAACAATCTAGCGTTAATTGATCTCAAATAGTTTCATTAAAAGTAGTTATTATTCCACCACGTGCGAAACCAACGTGGTTGAAGGATAATTTGCGATCAATGGGTTTCGGGAAAGAGTTGTGACGAGCTAGTTGATTTATCCAACGATATATCGATAGTGAAGCAGCAAACTAAAGTTGTTGAACGGGAAACGCACCCCTGATTGAGTTTTTGAGTTAAACTCTTGCTTAAATTTCTATCACACAAAGCTATTAAATGGCTTTAGAAGACTTGGAATTTAAAACACAAGTCACGGTTTACTTTCATGGTGTTTTCTTACACTCTAAAAAATGCTGGGTTGTTTTAACCCAACTTTGGGTCAAATATGGACTAACCCAGCCGTTGGGTTAAATTTTTACATTACATTTTTAACCCAACATTTCGGGTTTGTCCATATTTAACCCAAAATTGGGTTAAAACAACCCAGCATTTTTTAGAGTGTATCATCTTATATTTGGAGCTTGACAAACAAATTCGTTGGAGTGAGTACGAGGTGGCTGATTCGTACGAATTCCGCAGTATCGGGTAGGTTTAGGGGTGGGGTAATAGGTAATTCATACGAATTCTCACAAAATTGGGCAACTTGTAAAATATGTATACGATTTAGCAAAAGGAGGTTGTATCAATTCGTAAGAATTGGCAACCTCCTAAAATACGTACGAATTGCCGTGAGATCGGGTTTGGACAAACCCAGTCCTCATTTATAAAAAAAAAAAAAAAAAAACTGCCAAGGAAACTCCTAAAAAAAATAACACCTTGTACAGGTTTGTAACAACATGAGATGGTGTAAATAAGGACAAATTTTCATTTTTGGGGTGACACGGCTTGAGAACTCAGCTTGATCCAGTGATAACCCTGAACCTTTGCATTTGGAGATATGAGCTAATTATTGTTCTTTCAACATCGTCTATTATCATAATTACAGAGGGAATATCAGAGAACGCTCAGTACTCTTTTTGTACGGCTGTTCAGCCTCCATCCAACGTGCAGAATAGCTGCATGGTGAGCGAATGCGGGGGGAGGTAGGTCGTAATTGGCCTGTGAATAGATTTGTCATTAGAAGCGCGGTGGGGAGACCCCAATCCTGGTCGTCCTGTGACACATCTGCCTGATTAAAGAGGTCAATAAGCCAGAGCTACGACACAGATTGCCAATTTCGACTGTCCTCGCCCAGATGTTACATAAGAAGGGTTAAAAATATTCTCTACACAGATATTTTTGTGCTTTGTTACCACCAGTTGTTGTTTTTGTCCTAAAAGTAGCGCTAATCAAAGATATTGATTTTGTGCAAATGAGAAAATGATTGATCACTGCCAGATATATCCTTGGGGTATAGTGTAAATTTATACGAAAATCACCATTTATAGCACATCCCCTGATGCTTTAATAAAGAGAAGTCAAGGGGAAACTGATACCTTTGCCACAGAGGTCTGAAATCTATCTATAGCCATAGCTATTCATAAATGTTTTGAATATTCCCCTTGTTCTGTAGAGATTGACCTTCATATAAGGAGTCTCATGCGGACACCTCAGAAAATAATAGGAATTAACCTCTTATTTTCCTCTATAATTTTTGTATCATGTGAAAATGTATTTTATACTCTGTGGTCTATAAATTATATAAAAAATATATTTTTTAAAATCTAACTGTTGAATGGTAGTGGACACTGTGACAACAAAGACTGGAGTAATGCTGAAAATTCAGCTTTGCATTACACAAATAAATGATATTTTAAAATGTACTAAAATAGAAACAGTTATTCTAAATTGTAATAATATTTCACAATATTACTTTCTCAAATCAACTTAGATAATTAATGTGGTTTAGAATAGATAACATAATATTTTGAGACTATAATTATTGAACCAATCTCCTTCATTGTATTTACTAAGATTTTAATTTTAATGAACTCAAAATTTTAAGGCAACTTAACAGGTAGCTCACTTTTTTAAGTTAAACCAACACTATTTGTTTACAGTGTACTGCATTTTCGGTCAAATAAATGCAGCCTCGATTAACGTCTTTCAAGAACATTAAAAAATCTCTAAACTTTTGTATATAATCATCTTTAAAATATTAGGATGAAATCATGAAGTGTCTTTTACTGATGTTTTTCAAGCTATTAGATGATCCCAGAACGTGTGCTAAAGTATCTCCTACTTTATATCCTGTTCTGTTTCTATTTCCTATGAAGGTATCCATCCACTAGATTTCTCTATGAAATATTAACATGCTTGTAAGGGTGGCTGACCTCTCGAGCACAATTTAGCTCTCATTTTAAACTTCTTTTCAGGAGTAGCCTATAGTGAGATTGTCCATCTTGTGGAAATTGTTTAGTGAAAACACTGACCCGGGTTTACCTGAATTGATTCGAAAACAGCCTTTCAAAACATGTCAAATATTGCTCTGAAAGACATGTTGGTGCATTAGATCAAACTCAAATGCAGATGAGTTCAACAAAACTGACATAAAAAAAGAAATCAAAGAAAATCATAAACCGTTCTACATAAAATGCTAAGCTAAAGCTAGGATAAATCTTTAGCTGCCATTTGATCCAATTCATTTATTATCCCTTAAAGATGTGTCCCAGATTAAAGTGCATCAAACCTTGCAGGAGAAAACACGGCCAAAGCTATCACGGCAGCTTTTAAATGTATGACCTTAAGTTATAATTAATTAAGGTACTTTTGCTGTTGATTATGGGGTTTAGCTTTGCTAGGGGGGGTTGATAATTGCTTTTAATACAAATTAAAACATAACATGTCAGCATTACAAACCAAAACATTACAAACAGTTTGCAAATAATATTCTTTTTTAAAGAATACTAAAGGGCATACCTGTAAGCAAATTGAGATTGGGCCTGGATCTCTTGACCATGTGGTGCATTAGCACATGTGTAGGGGGTCCAGGAGCTGTAGCATGAATGATCTGACCCCACAGGCTTCATCCATTAGAACTAATGTGCCTCACTAGTCCATTTAGCCTGCTAACTCACTCTCTCTCTCTCTCTCTCTCTCTCTCTCTCTCTCTCTCTCTCTCTCTCTCTCTCTCTCTCCCTCCTCAGACTTCTCCTCCAGGATACAGAAAGAGAAAGCAGGGCAACAGAGACCGGCTCTTTTCTTCTCTCCCAAGTCTGCTGCACTGAGCAATGCTGAGCCTCGAAGACTGAAAGAGTGGGAGAAAAAGAAAAGACAGAAACAAAAAAAAAAGAGATTCTGAGAGGATGTTTGAGAAGCATTGACTCAAAGAGGAATGAAAGGAAAGAATAAACATGGGGGGGAAAATAGAATACAGAGGCTGTATAAAGGGCGGGAAGGTCAGTTAGACATCTATCTATCCATCCATCCCTCTCTCTCTCTCTCTCTCTCTCTCTCTCTCTGCGAGTCTTACTCTTCATGTTTGTCCCTCAACAGAATCCAGTGATTTTTCACTTCAGTAATCAGTCCATTCCTTGCTGGAGGGCTGCAAAGAATTCTGTGGCATCTGGATTGTGGGTTTCTGGGTGTTTCTGTGCACATTTGTTTGTGTGCATATGAGTGTTTGTGTGTACAATACCACTATCCATGGGGTACAACTTTCTCCTAATCCTTCAGAAAACTGGAATCAAATGCAGCTTCATCACACATCTGAAAGCGGTGGTCTGGATTAACGCCAGCTGATGGGATGTCACAATGTCGGCAATAAGAAATACAGTCGGCGGTCTTCTATCACAAGCACATAGCTGATATTACCACATATATACACAAAATACTAGTCATATAATTGTTTAAATATTGCACTTTATGTGATTTAAAAGAATATATAAAGCACAACAAATACAACCTGACTTGACATGACTACATTTTACATTCTGGGGGAGTGTTTATAGCATGGCCAAAAGATGCTCTGCTTTACTTAAGTTCATTTGTGGAACTAAATAGAAATTATAGATAGTTCAAACAAGGTTGAATACCGCTTCGTTATAGTATAGAGGGTAAATACTTTATATAATAATCATTTTAAAGGTAACTTTGGCTGCTTGAGCTCTCAAGATGTGCCTGCTGCTGTTACTTTATATGCAGTGCATGTGTCGCACATTTTGATTTTGAGAATGATTTGTTTTAAGGTCATTAGTTCATTTTAAGATTATGCAAATTGAGCACACACCAAAAAAAAAAAAACATGTAACCAATTTTCATATTTAAACATTTATTCATATTCCAAAATACAGTGAAAATGTGAAAAAGAAAAATATATATTTTCATTCAATGGCTCAGGAAACACAGTAACTTTATACAATGTAGACAAATGGTGGAAATATTAGCTTAAAATCTCTTCATGTAGACCAGTGGGGGAAAGGGTTCACATATCTCATCTTCTTATGATATGACAGTAGATTCAAACTTTGACACGTTCTACTAGAGTACACATGTAAATGATCATTTACTACAGATGAGTGCTATCAGCTCTCCGTTCCAGGATCAGGGCTGTACACACGCCACAGGCTGGACCTGCGTAATCTGATTCACTGTTCCCTCCGTTTCTTTCCTGTAAGAGAAAAGGGAAAACTTGAGTTACGTGTCGAGTTCAAAATGTTAGATTATATGTTCTAAATATGATCTTTTACAAACATTTGATGATGAAATAGATACAAACACATACCTTTAGGTTTTATGTGTACAGGTGAAGCCAGTATGTGGTCAATCAGTTTGCTTACCCAGTTACTCTCACTGGGAAAGGGCGCACAGAGCTTATAGCCCTTCTTTGTGACAAATCTGTGGAAATTCATTCACATTTAAATATGCAAAATCCTATACACCTTGAAGTCTCCAGCACTATCGAGGCATTTTGAAATGCATGTAACGCGACTTACATAGTGGCAGGAATCCTGCAGACTCCATCGCTGGTCTGAATGGTGAAGGACGTCACCACCCTCTGTGGGATGCGATGGTTACTGGTAGTTAAACAGCAATCTGCTGCACCATCACTTTGAGCTGTGGTAGTTAAACAGTGAACACAGAATGTTAACCATTAGTCATTTTCACAGTCTCGCCTGTTAAGCAATGAAGAAATAGCCAGATTATCTTTACAGATAGTTAAGAATTGAAGAGTTCAGATGCAAAAGCCTCTAAATGCCATTTGAAATTTTCTTCTTTAATGATGATTTTTATCAAACTTGTATATTTAGGTTCAGTAATTTCACTTAAATAACAATTAATAGGTAATTATCATTGCCATTTAAGTGAAATCACTGAACTTAAATATACAAGCTTGATAAAAATGATCATTCTAGAAGAAAATTTCAAATGGCACGTAGAGGCTTTTGCATCTGAACTCTTCAATTGTAAAAAGTTGCTTTAGACAAAGAGCGTTCTTAACCTTCAGATACGTTCAAATACATTATATTTTGAAACCTTATCCATTTAAACCTCTTGTACAAATTTTTCCTCACCTGTTGTACAGCTCCATAGACTGACGCTCAATATAAGCAGAGCACCTGTCCATAATGTCATAGAGTTCGAGAACATCATGTTGTCCCTCTGAATGCGTTATTTCACCTGTCCTCAACAGATGTGTGGCTCACTGGGACTTGCGCTCCTTTTATACGTTCATCGCAAACTTTCACTTTCTTTATCCTTTAAGGTAACCGTTTCCTGTAAATCCATCCCTTTAAAGAGCCCTTTCACCTCCGTTTGTTAACTGGAAATGATGCCCGCCAAGCGAGTTCATTCCTCTGAAGTGAAGGGAAAGTTTCGACATGTCTTCGGGGCTGTGCATATCAGATGTGCTTATCAGTGTCACTGAAAATAAATAAATAAATAATATATATATATATATATATATATATATTATAAATTAAGATTATATTTTTTAAAAATTAAACCCCTCAAAAAATAAGTGCATGCAGCTCTGCATTGAATTCACAATTGCTCGTTGGTTTGCAACTGACTTGTGTGTCTAGTTCAGTATCAGTCATATCAGTATCGGTTTAATCATATGAGCACACTTCACATGTGGATATCTGATGTGATATACCAATTATTATCATAATGATTGTGATAGCTATATTCATCTTTATGACTCTTTTATGTAACATTAACATTTAAAGAAACATACCTTAATATCAAACTGGCAAATTCCTTCCAAACCACGTATAGTTTGATTGACAGCACGACTAATTTTTTTTTAATTTGTTGGTTCATGTGCTTTTGGATGTGACCCAACAAAAGCTGCAAGAACATGTAGGCCTACCAGCTACTGCTGGCAGATGAGCAATGATTGCTGTTGGAAAATTATGCACTTCTAGAATTATTATCTAAGTTCATTCCAGTCTTTGAAGAGCACCTATATTTTTAAGTTACCATATTATTCATTTCACAGATTTGTATACTGCATTTCGCTGCTATTGTGTTTTGATCCACAAATAAAGAAATACTTACTTTCTGTAGATTTATAACCTGTTCAAAGCAGCTGAAATGTGCATCATGATATTCTTATGCACAGAAATGTCAAGTGTTTTGGCAATAATGGTAGTGTTATGTTTCAGGCGTGCATCTACACGTGAAAGCTAAATATATGCATGGAATACAGCCAGCAAACTGTCTAAAGGCCTTGGACATGTTAATCATGCAGAACTTTTTTTTTTTTTTTTATCATGCCATAGCCAGAAATTCTGCTCGATTAACAGCCCCTCCACACACCGGCAGGTCTTTAATTTGTGACGTGATCCGAATGTCTCTAATGAGCACTAAAGTTTAATTTCTAACTACAGCTGGGTTTAGTTTTCACTCATCACTTCAGGATTGTCAGGGAATGAGCACCATGCCGTGTCACTTCCTGTTTGACGGCTCACTTCCACCTGGGCCGCGGCGACATCAGCAGGTCCAGAGGTAATCAAGCTTCTTTGTCAAAGCAAATGACGAGGAAATTACAGACAATCAGGACCACTTGAAGGCTAGTCAAAATGTGCGATGAGAGTCTTTTGCTCATGTTACAGCCCCTCTAAGGAAAGTTTTTTTTTTAATATGGAATCAATAATAAATTATATAATATAAATAACTTTGAATATATGCATTTTATGTTTTGCATATTACGCATTTTGTATTTTGGAAAATATTAACAAAGAAGCCTATGAAAATAAATCTGCATTGTTGATTCTATTGATCTTTCATTCAAAATATTGGAAAAAATCGAATCTTTCAAAATAACTGAAAGCGGGGGTGGGGGGGGGTTATTTATGTATCACGTGGATGAATAATCATATGCAAATAGTATGCAGATGAGGAGATACATATTTAAACTAGGCATTATCCACAAGTTTCCTACGCCCCATGAGGCCTTGCGTCAAAAGTGGGCGCGACTTCCGGTTGGAAGTAAACAAAGGGCGATTTGACATGCTTGACACTCGTTCATTCAACAGTTGACAGTCATTCAAGTTATAGCGATCCAAACTAGCTAACGATGTGGGAACACAACCTCAACGAAATTCAAAAGGGTGAAATAACAGTGCCTTTACCCTCCGCAGTCGTTGACTGGAAGTATTATAATAACATTATTAATAATCAATACTCATCAAGGCATGGTGACAGACAGTTGTGCGAGCTGACAAACAATTAAAATAAAAAATACACACTTAGTCATTGTGCTTTGGAGTTTATTCAAAATTATAAATGAATGTGTTGCTTGAATACATTAACTGGCACATTTGGTATTCTGTCAACACAGGCTTTCATACGGAGTTTAGGTGTAACATCAGTAGCGAACAGCCAATCACATGCTGATAGAGTTTATAGAAAATTAAGAATTTAAACAAATGTACAGAGTAAGATTCGTCGTCTTTTGAGAGATGATGGAAACTACAGTCGTTGGCAGGATCAGAGACGGGCTCTGGTAGGATATCTCTGATTTCGTTTTCAGCTTATGTTCAAAACAATCACGTTTAAGCCACTGAATTAGTTTAGTCCGGTTATACAAACAACCGCGAACAGCACATGTTGTCCCTGAGCTCCGTAACGACATCTCTCATAAAGATTGGCGTCTTTAAATAGTAAAATAATTCTCCGAAAAACAGCTAGCCTCTTCGCTAACTAACACACAAAATACCATTGGAATGCTACTTCCGCCGCGTCACCGGAAGTTTTACCCACTTTATTTTTTACAGGAGCGCCCCTCGGAAACTTGTGGATAAGCTCCATAAATGGTTATTTCGGGGAGGAGACGCATGTGCGCACAATCTTCGGCTGACTGGGATTTATAAAGTGAATCTGTGCAGGTTCTGGCGTGCCGTACAAACGGTTTTATAAATCTCAATATTTTTTGGCGTACGCCATTTTTGGCTTTCGGGCACACGAACACTTTTAGTAAGGATCTTACACGCATTTTTATAAATGAAACCCCAGGTCAGGGACTTGGATAGTCACGGCAGAATCTTCAATTTGCTCTCAATAACACATCTTCGTGTTGATTTTGATGTTTGTTTTGGATTCTTTTCCTGATGGAATATCCAACCACGGCCCATTATAATATTTCAAGCAGAGGCCATCAGGTTTTGATTTTTTTTTTATCTGTTGCTATTTGCTAGAATCTATGATGCATATCTCTGAACAAGATGTCCAGGACCTCAAGTAAAAAAAAAAAAAAGGGGGGGGGGGGGTGTCCAGCAACTGTGGGCACTTGTTAACCCTGTTTGCACAAAACCCATCATGGTTTTGCTGCACAAAAGCTCTTTTTTTAATTTCATCTGACCCTGTTGAAGTTCCAAACGTGTCTGACTCTGACAACTGAATATGCCGGGGTTTGTTTTTGGATGAGCGAGGAGGATTTTTCTTGAAACCCTCCCAAACAACAGGTGGAGATGTAGGTGCTGTTTGATTTTTCTTTTCCTGAGGCTAATTTCTGCAATTCTCCATCTGTGATTCGTGGAGTCTATAGCACTCAAACTATTTTCTTGCAGCCACTTGCTGTTTTGTGAAGCTCAACAATCTTTTGCTGCACATCAGAACTTGATAGAGACAGATGTTTTTATTCTCTATTCTCTAATTATGTTGATAGAGAATACAAACATCTCATATATATATATATATACAAACATCTATATTTTACTGACCACTAAAGTCCACTTACTTGAAAATGTAAATATGAAGAAACACAAAGGCCAAATTTCCAACACAATGCGTACTGTAAAACCATTACTAACTGCAAATTAGCCTACTAACCGCAAATATTTTATGAAACTTGCTCAGAACATTTGACAAGTCTATATCTGTTGATAGAGAATACAAACATCTCTTTCAAATGTACATCTGTTCTCAGTGTAAATGAAAGCCAAATGCATTCAAATGCATTACGCATTCAGTCTATAGGTGCGTAGTTTCTTTACAAAGTGACATCGCCATATCCGACAACAATAATATGTTTTTACTCGTTTAAGCGGATCCCTGAATGAAGATCATTTAAGAATACAAACATCTCTTGTTTGTATTCTTAAAAGATCATTTTGAGAATACAAACATCTCTTTCAAATGTATTCTTATTCTCTATATAGAAGAAATGTTTGTATTCTCAATCAACAGATATAGACTTGTCATTTGTTCTGAGCAAGATTCATAAAATATTTGCGGTTAGTAATTTGCGGTTAGTAATGAATATTCTTTGGTTTCACCCATTGTGTTGGAAATTTAGCCTTTGTGTTTCTTCATATCTGCATATTCAAGTAAGTGGACTTTTTTTACCATACAGATGACAACGTCAAAACGATCTCTATTCACACGGATCTGCTTAAACGAGTAAAAACATATTATTGTTATCGGACAAGTCGATGTCGTCTTTGTAAAGAAACTACGCGCCTATAGACTGAACGCGTTATGTGCATGTGCATGACGGCACCGTTTTCACAAATTTGAGTTTTTGTGAAAGACGATAACGGTATCATTTTCAAAATGTGCACTTTGAAAAAAGTTAGTGTTTTTTTAAGGCCCCCAAAATGCTGCTGTCATATAAATGAACGACCAAAAAGCATTAAAAGATTTTAGATTTTTTACTTTGACAAAAAAAAAAAAAAAAAATCGAAATAAATTTGAATATAGGAATTAAAAGTATCCTCATCATAGAAGATGTGTAGGTCTACTGAAGTCAGTGTTATATAAGTGTCTGTTTTAAATGTTGATAGCAACAGACCACTTAAAATCACAACTATTGCATCATAACATTCATCCAGTTATACAATAAATCTGTTATATAACACATTTCTTTCATCAGTATTGATTTACTCTTTCTCATCTAATGATGAATCTTGGTTGGCTGAGAACAGATGTACATTTGAAAGAGATGTTTGTATTCTTTATCAACAGATATAGACTTGTCATAAGTTCCGAGCAAGATTCATATCATATTTGTGGTTATTAATTTGCCAAAGATGTTTAACTTGAATAAGGCTCCTATAACAAAACGTTCTGTTCGTTTGGAGGTTCAGCTTTCATTGTGCTCATGAAGAACAGTAATGATCCATCTTCCTTGTATAGACTCGCCCACATCTCAAAGTGCTTGTTTATACTGGAAGCTCAAATTCACTTTCCTTCAATAAACAAAAGAAAGGGGGGGGGGGGAATAATAATCAGACCACTTCCCGCAGTCAGGTTGTGCACTTGCCAGATCTGTCTGGAATCCATACAAGATAAACTCATTGCAGAAATCTACAGGTCACCAAACACAGTTTGATCCTTATCATTGATGCCCTAAAGCAGTTAGACACAAACCTCACTACTAGTTTGCAGGCAGGGTTAATTTTTACATTTTGGAATTTTCTATTACAAAAGTATTATTTAATTTTTACTATTGAGATGTATGCCTACAATGTCTACAGATTGGCTAAAATGTACCGACTTTCAACTGTTTGCAATGAACAAAGCAAACAAAATCCAAAATCAAGGGCTTCATTAGCTGCACCAGGTGTACTTGAGCTAGAACACGTGAAATATCTGAATCGGCTAGGTTTGTTGAGTGTCACTTTTGGCTGCATGTTAGAAATATGACAAAATAATGGTCCAAAAAGTTAAAAGAAGATATCAACGCCTTTCACAAACAAGGAACAGGATACAAAAAGATAGAGAAGACACTAAATGTTTCTAGTTGAAGTTACAGTGGTTACACTACCTGAATGGGGTTCATAAATACCCTTGAGTGACTGCAAAAAAACGTTAGCACTGAGGATTCAGCTTCTAAAGTAAGGCGAGTACTAAATGCATGCCATAACTCCAAGATGTACACCACTACTGACCCAAAAGCACAAGAAACGTTGGCTCCAATTTGCTCAAATTCATAGTTTTGGGATTCTGTTCAATGGAGTGACAAAAGTGGATCTTTTCAGCCCTATGGATCAGTGGTATGTCTGGAGAAAGAAGAATATTTGCCGAAATGAATACCGTCTATAGTTAAGCATGGTGGGGCTCGGTGATGCTCTGGAGCTGCTTTGCATCCTCTGGCACTCAAAACCTGCAGCGTGCGGAAGGCAAGACGGATTCATTGAAGTATCAGGAAATCCTAGGGTAAAACTCCATGTCCTCAGGGAGGAAGCTGAAGCTTGGGACCTTCCATCCCAAGCATTCCTCAAATTCCACCAAGGCTTGGTTGCATAAGAAGCCTTGGAAGATTCCACAGTGGCATCAGTCAACCCTATAGAAAATCTCTGGTGGGATTTGAAGAAGGCAGTTGCAGCACGCAAACCCAATAATATAACTGAACTGGAGGCCAGTGCTCATGAGGAATGGGCTAAGATTCCTCAGAATCGCTGCCAGAAACTATTGTCTGGTTATACATCTCATTTGCAGCAGGTCATGACAGGAAATGATGTTCTACCAAGTACTAAAGATGCTTGCCGTGAAGGGGTTGACTAATTCTGAGACTGTAGAAGTCATTAAAAGTTGCATTTTCAGTTGAATTTGGGGAAACTTGCTGAGCTATTTCTATTACTTTTGTTTGATTTGTTCATTGAATAAAATCTATACATTTTGTCAATAAACGTGATTTGCAATGGGGGTTGAATAACTTCGATTACAACTGTAAACGGAAAACAACAATCTTCACAGTTGCATTGAATCAAGCTATGTTTGCAGAAATCCCCCTCTGACTGCCAGATAAAGTTACACGGGAGTGTCATTTTCAAGAAGTCAGCTGCTATGCAAGATTTTATAGATCTTTCTCTGCAGATAAGCAGAATATTCCAGAGCACACTTTGCACCCGTAACACAGATTGGACAGGTATTTTTGTGATTAACAGTAGCATTGGTTTGTTAAATGGAGCTTGGAAGTTTACCGTCACGCTCAATGGGACGTTTCGTTGATAAAATGCGCTTAATCTCTCATCTTTCCTTGTTTTGGATCTGTTCTTTATGTTTGTGCAATGAGCCTGCTTTGATACGAAAGATCTTTTGTAGTGACAGGGACAAAGGCCACTGGAAAGTCCCTAAGATTAGTTTGTTTATGCGTCAACCACAGGTGGTCATGGCTAGTTTCTTAACATGACGGATGGATATTTCCCACTTTGATGTAGGGCACAAAGAGGGACGTCTTTTGGTTGTATTGGTTAATTGTTTTGTATGGGTGGAAATGTGAACTTGTTTTGTATATATATATACAGTATATATATAATTTCTTTTAAGTTTCTTTTCTTTCTGCATTTTTGTCATTGCTGCATTGTTGTCAAGCTGGTGGGGAAAACACTGATCATTTTTAAATAAAAAAACTGGTTTGGTTTTGGTTGCGTTTCTAAAATGTCACGGGTCATTCCAATATTTTTATGTCCCAATAGAATCATATTCATTATTTTTATCATTATTTTACTACTTTGATTGGGTGTTGTAATTTGGCAATGTCCATACGCACTATGATTCTAAGAACTCGCAATTTGCAAGCAAATCATTTTTAATTCTTTTCAAAATGTCTAAATTTAAAGCATGTTTTCTTATTCGTATAATCCATCCATTACTTTATATCCTGTTAGTTTTTAGTAAAAATAAAATAAGTACCTAACTAGCTATAACTAACAATGTTTAATACAAAATCCAGTCCTAAATCTGTTATTTTAGTTTTATTCATATTTTAATTAGCTTTTATTTTTTCTATTTTGCTAATATAAGTTTAATTGTTAGTAATTTCTTCATGCGATATTATTATTATTGTTTTTTTTTTCAGTTTCAGTTTTAGTAAAGTTTGCCTCAAATTAAACTTGTTTCAGTTTATTGCTAAGGCAACATTTCTAATTAAATAAGTTTACCACATATATTCTATTTGATAACAGTTTTATTTCAATTAACAAATATGTTTGTTAGTAGTTTTAGTTAAGGATGATATCCCTGTCCTGAATGACATCATTCCAGGAGGTGACTCCATTTATGGTGGGAAAACAATAGCACAAACCTCAGTGGGTATTAGCAATGTATTTGATGAATTGTGTGTTCTCATTTTAAACATTCATATATAATAAATCTCATCACAAAAATAAAAGCATAATGAAAAAAGTTGAGTCCGTCATGTAAGCTACTTTTTAAATCTCTCACTGAGCATTGACTACCTTTATTTTTCCATTCTGTTCATTTTCATGCCATTGTGTAAATAAAGTAAATATTTATACAGACAGACTATGTTTTGGTTGTGCTTCAGCTCTGCGTGACTATGTGGATGAAATAACCCTTCACAATAGATAACGCTTCACAAATGAACTCTTTTAGAAAACAAAATACGACGATTTATCTGTTCAATAAAATAACTTAGCTGTTGAGTAATAAAAACAACATCTCCGCATGGCTTTTACATTTCTAATCCCTGATCTCGCCATCTCCAAAAAGCCATGCCCATGTTGATTTTTGTTCTATAGGCTTCTTGTTCTAATTGCGGTCATGTTCTCTGTTTGCCAGACGACTCTACTCTATTCTGCGGGTTTTTTTAATAGATTCCCTGGAGGTTCAAGATGAATGCATTCAAGATTTAGCAGCTCCATGTCAAACAATCTCACTCGTTGTGACCGACAACTAACCTATAGCACTCTCCATAGGCATAATTTAGGGGTTAATGAACTTAACCTTAATTTAGCTTAATTTAGGTTAAGCAACAACAAATTGCCACAGGACCAATAGCCATAACAACCAATGAAATTGCAGCATTACATTATTCTTGTGCTTTACACCAAAAAGAACAATTTTATTTCACTTACCATAACTTAATTGAATGACTGAGCTTGGAAGTATAATAAAAGTTTTATATAATATTGTTTTAAAGAGAAAATGTCACATAATAACTTAATAATTGAACAGAAATCACATTGAAAGAAATTCAGCTTGTTGGTCATTCCTGAGCTTAATGTGCACTTATGCAAAGAGAACGACCTATGACAGGGCACTTCGTAATGAATTTACCCTTACTGACCGCAGAAGGAATCAGATTTCATAGGGTGTTTATAGATAAAACAGCGCACTCTGCAGGACAGCAGCTGGTCCTGCAAACACAAAGAAACTAGAAAGCACACACACAAAAAAACATTTCAAATTGTACAAAATATTTAATTGATTTTTCCCCCTTTATCAATGAATTTAAACAAAATTTAGACAATTAAAATGATTTCTTTCACAGCTCTAATTCAATCATCAACCCCACATTAAGATGTTATTAAAAGCCACTGTATGGCTTGACTGTATTTTGCTTTAAAAAATTAAATACAAAAACCAGCCTCTCACACACACACACACAAAATGCACCATGCAGAGCAGAATATTCTATTGCATTCTGGCTAAATTAACCTGAGCATATGATCATGTAATAATCTTCCCCATGCATTTCTCACAAAAAAAATGAGATGAGTAAAATCATTTAATCCATTAGTGAACTAAATATATGACAGCTAAATAAATAACAGTCATTGCAAATTGAATGAACGCAGATTTCATTCACTAATATCAAACAAGGCAACCGTTAAAACTAGTGACCTGATATCTAGGTGAAGAATTTACCTAGCCAAAAAAAAAAAGGTGCAGAACACAACTTGTTATTGGATAAACCCTGATGCTTGTTATTGCTAGGGAATAGACAGGACACCCATTAACAATGAGCTTTTTATATACATAAAAAAAATTAAACATTAAGAAGCAGGACAATAAAAAGAAAAAAATATATAATGAATAGTTCAGTCCACTGCTGAATGAATGATGCTCTCAAGCATGGCTTTTAAAGAGACAGTTCAACCGAAATACAATAAATAATTCTGTCATTTACACTACCAATCCTGCATGACTTGCTTCCATAAAACACAAAGCGAGCGCTGTTGCAGAATGCTGCGCTCTTCACAATTTTCACTGGTTACAATCCACCATAATTGTATGAAGCAGCTTGGTCAGTGAGATCACGACATGAGGGTGTAAATGATGACAGATTATACATTTCAGTTGAACTAGCCCTTTAAATCTTTTGGTCAGTGGGGTTTTTAATGAGTTCGCATTGCAACACTGTGGATTTCATGTAGCCCTTCAATAAAATAACTTCTAATATTCTCTTAAATGACCTTCTGGGCATGGCAGTAAAAAAAGCATGCACAAAGATCATCTCTCTCTGTCTCTTTCAATACAAAGGCAGTAAAGCAACCAATGCCTGTCAACAGTTCAATAGCTTATTGAAAGCATAATGACTGTAGCAGTCTTCTAAAATAGCTTCGGTTTATTGACTTCTCTCACGTGTTCATAAATGAAGAGATGCTTTAGACCTCTTTGTTCCAAAGTCAGATGCGAAAAAGATCTGGTTTTCATCTGTATAGTTGGCAGTGGAGCTGAGGAGGTTGACCAGGTGTCTTCAACATCTCTGAAAAGTTCTAGATGAGGTTTTTTGGGTGACAAGTGCTACCTGGAGTTCTGATGGAGGAGTTTCTTAAACAGACCACCCACTGACACGTCCACCCTCATCACCACGGCAACCCCCAGAATAACAAACACGCTGCCCACGATGAAGGCAGACGCCTCAAACATCAGTCTGCCGAAAAGAAAAAAAAAAACACAGCTTAGGATGCAGTTATGAGTGTTTTTTTTTTTTTTTTTTCAAAAATTAACTTATGCTACAGTTGCGCTGTGTCATAATTACAGCAATTACAAGATGAAAACTACTCTGGTTTCTATGCCAACACTCATAAGGCCACAATGGGTCCCTGTGTGGGTTTGTTCGTAATGACAGCAAAATACTTCACTACATAAATTCACGTCATGTGAAAGTCAGAGTTGTCAAAACTCTGAATTTATGTTAAAGTGATAATTCATGGTCTGTTTAGAAAGCACTGGACTGGAAGTCTATGCTGACAGTTAGCTTGCTAAACCTCCTCAACATCCAAAGCAAGTGCTGCGTGGGTGAATTTTAGAAAAGTTTTAAAGGACCTTGTACAAAACAACACTGTCAAACAATACTGAACTATTCGTTCAACCCACCAACAAGTCTTTTTGTAAATTTAACAACATTAAAATAAGAAAGAGATAGAGATGGAGATGGTGACTCACTTCGGTGCAAACACTTTCCACACCATGAGGTGTCTCCTGAGGATAGCAGCCGCACAAACCGAAGCAAAAACCTAAAAGTAAACAAGTTATTTATCATTTATTTTCCATTTTACAAAAACTTAAATGTTAGATGAGAATTCACTAGCCTACTAAGCCCGTTCACACCAAGACTTACACGACTCAACACAAATGTATGACATTCGCCAAAAAAAAAAAAAAAAAGGTGGCCCTGAAACAAAGGTGTCCATTGTCTAGGTATTAATGGACTTTGGCGGAGGCAATAAAGTCTAGAGCCCGACCGATACAAATATTTGTTGGTTTTAAAATCCGATATATAGGCCGATATTTTTTTTTCTTTTTTTTCTGAAACGAATAACAAAACAGTAACAGATTTCCCTAACATTAGTTATTTGTAGATATTTATGAGTTTTAACTAAAATAATATGATAACGTATTTTAAAAAGAAACTTGTTCTTTTATTGTTACAATAGAACAGACTAATGATAGTGGCATTAGCTAGCTTTGTGGTTAGCTAGTCGATGATGAGCCGATGAATGATGAATTAAGCAATGGATAACGTCATACTGCAAATTGTAAAACATACATTTTCAATATACCAGACCAAAGAGAGATGATGCGTCTCATTGTAATAAATGTCACACGCTATTAAAGAAATACTTCAGTCACATTGTCAAAAGTTAAAAGGACAGTCAGTCAACTACACTGTAACAACGTAACATAATTATTACTAGCTAATTCCGCTTCACTCTCGGCTTATTTAACAGCAGCAAAACTGGACATGATAGTCACAAATTTTGTCATGCTTATTTTAGTTAAGAGAACTGATGGGGATGTTCTTTTAATTGTTATTCAAGCAATGTATGTCTCGTGACCAACTCAACGAGTGTTGCCAACAGGAACGGTGTAGAGTGCCCTCTGGTGGACAAACTATACAACTCCAACATTCATAACATGGTTCAAGCGTGTTTCGTTTTTATTTTATTTTTGAAATATTCATTTATCGGCCATTATAACTGCCGTAGTGTTGTCACGGTACCAAAATTTCAGTATTCGGTACCGATACCAGTTAAAATTCACGGTTCTCGGTACCAATTTCGGTACCAAAGCTTAGTTTAAATTTACATATATTTAAGTGTTTATCACGGTTACAAGTATGGAAACTTCGTATTATAAACACTTTAGAAAAAGATTAGTTAAAATGACCTAAAATAAACAATAGTATACACTAACACATTTTTAAAGTTGTTTGTAAAGTTTTAATCCATTATTTATTTAATGCACAATGAATTAAGTGAACAAACATGAACAATCAGGTGTTTGTAATAAATAACATTTTCAAACATTAATTAATGTTGTAAAAATATATTGTTCACTCAATGTGTTGATAACTAAGTAATGTTTATGAATGGTATCTTTGTAGCATTACCATAAAACATGTTTTATTTGACTTGACTGTCCTTTTATTAATCTAAAACTGCATTCATATTTAATTTTAAAAAGGCTTTTTAAACCTGCTGAGTTATAAAGGCAAGAATACGCCTAGAACTGGCATTGACATTAAATGATAATACTAATACCATAGTACTCTGGTGACGGGTAGATACTACTGTGCTCATGTACTCGTAAAACTACCCCGAAAGCACTTTAGAGGCCGTTCATATGTCGCGCGTGTTTTTTAATTATATTTTTGCGCGTGCTTATTCTTTCCAAAGCGCTTGCTCTCACGCGGCGTCTGTCGTTGCTATGCAACGCCAACGAGTTTTTATTAGGAGCGCGCTTGAATCACGCCTATATTTGAAATTGCGAATTTGCATGTAATCGGCCTCTTATGGCAACGTGACATTAGCCTAATCCAAAATATTTCCATATGTGGCTCTTTCCTCCTTTCGTTTCAACAAGTGGATTCAGAGAGAGAGAGCCATATCAGCGTTATGAAGAGGACGCAACTGTGCACGTTTCAGACATCGCGTCTAGAACAGAACTGGATTAACCTGGTACTCGGTACCTAGAAAAGCTGGTACCGTAACATTTTTTTTTTTTAGTACCGACTTGGTACCGAAGTACCGAGTTTTTTGACAACACTAAACTGCCGATACCGATAGTTTGGAAAATGCCTAATATCGGCCGGCCGATATATCGGTCTGGCTCTAATAAAGTCCACAACGAAGTCCAGTCAGCGAAATCCAGATGCTGCACATCGGATGGTTCACGCCTCACCGTCATCCATTAATACCTGACAATGGACACCACGTCGGGCATTAACCCTTACATAATAATAACAATCTTTCTTACAAAAAACGCATTGCCTTGCTCCAGAAGGCTTTGCGCCTTTTTGCGCTCACTATTAACTCCCATTTTAAAGCATAGAAGAGCCAGGATTTTTAATATAACAATTGTATTTGGCTGAAAGAAGTCATATGAACCTAGGATAGCTTGAGGGATAGCTTGAGAGTAAATTAAGGGATCATTTACATTTTTGGGTGAAGTAACCCTTTAAATGTGAGCATAAGGCAATTTAAATATAGGCATAATTTGAACACACCTGTGCTCCATTCACAAAGAGGTAGCGTGCAGCGAGCTGCAGGAGACCAGAGCTGAACTTCTGAGGGTTCTCTCTTAGTCTCATCTCCATGACAGCATCCTCACTCTCCTCTGCTCCTGCTGAGCATGTAGATCGGGTCCCACGCACCTCGCACACCAGAGGCCAGAACAGCAGTAGAGGACAGCCAACTGCATGTGCGAATTAGACAGTGCAGTGATCGTTAAAATCATGGACACAAGGCAGAATCTCATAAGCTTCAAACAAATGGCTGAGCAAAGTTGTGACTGGTTGATCAGTATAAGGTCATACAGAAACATCACATGTGAATCATGCATATCCTGCACCTAAGCTAAGGTCAAGTTACCCGCAAAGATGATGTGAGAGGAGAAAGTGTTGAGGGTCACCAATAAGGCAGGAACCACAGTGCCTGTGTGACCCTGAGGAAAACCCACAAATGCAGCACCCCACTGTATGGAGGGGAAGGTTGGGAGGTGTCCTGTAGCGTGGAAAAACTGTGTGGCCGCCAGAGACCATGAAACCACTGGAACCCATGGCACAGTGAAACCATCTGGAAGGGTTCAAATAAGAATATTTGAGGCATTAGTAAAATATAAAAAAAAAAAACGAATGCTTTGAGTGATGTGGAGTGGAAATGTAAACAACTCTGATTGGCCATTGTATTAACGCACTCATCAGATATGTCAGTGATTGGATACAATGATCAATCAGCCCATGGGAGCATTTGAAAGTGTTTTAAAAGTGGGTGCAGGAGTGCTTGAAAGCACAAGCAGGCGTCTATCAGCGGACCAGACGCTCCCATGTGTATCTGTGCAAGCGCTCAGTAATGAGCGTCATTGATGTATATTTACAACATATATTCACATTTTTGAAGCACCGATAATTGTAGCCAACCCCATACATATTTGATGAGCATGTGACCACAATGGGCTATCAGAGGTGTTTCAGTACTGATTTGGTACCAAAGTCGGTACTTTTTGACAACACTAGTAGTAATAGCTTAGCAAGGGATAGGGTGTGAGGGTAGAAATGGAGAGCATCTTACTGGAGTGTTTGTACAGGCTGGAGAGGGTGGTGCTACAGGCGTGGATGTGCAGCACAGCTCCGGCCTCCAGCAGGAGAAGCAGGAAGGAAAGGGCCATTCCCTCTGGATGGAGTAGCAGAAGCACCAACCCCAGAAGTTCGCACAGCAAGACCAAGGGTGCCGAGTACACTGTACCCAGCCCGTAAGCCTCCACGGCTGGCCTGCTGTCCTCTTCGCTACCTCCTGTGACACCATCCTCCAGCGAGTGTCGGATACGCTGATACAGTTGTGGTATAAGGTGGTGCAATTCAGCCTGTGGACTGATTCCCGTGCTGGCTCGGTACTTGGGGAGTGGGAGGGATGTTCCTCGAGAGTTCAACGGAGTCCTTGACTTGAGGAACACAGTCATGGGATCCACCCACAACAGGAGCAATCCCAGCCCCAGCAGGCAGAAAGTGGCCCGCGGCAGATACACCTGGGCTAGGCCGATTAGTTCGGACAAACTCCGGAAGGTGTCCTGTGGAGTAGCGCTCACTGCCCAATGCAACCCCATGCAAACACAGGCCAGTGGCACAAGGAAGCAGGCCAGAAACAAAGTAAGGCTGGAACAGTTAAGGTTCCCGTAGTGTCTGAGCCAACGGTGTAGAAGGTACCCCCACATGGCCAATGAAACCACAGAGAGGACATAGTGGAGGTTGCGCAGTTGGCTGTCCTGTATACGTGAGAGCGGGGAGAGGAAAGGTGAGGGCTGGCAGGAGCCCTGCTCCTCGCGGCAGTTGTGGAAGGAGAGGGATAGGTAAAGCGATCCAACCAGAACTCCCAACCACACCAGCAAGATGGTGGCCTCCCGTCTAATCACTGAGGACGGCAGTGCTGTTGGGAGCAGCCGAGGTGGCTTCTGGGTGTCTGGTGGAGGAAGTGGGACCAGGAGTCCATCCCAGTTGAGACGGAGAGGAACATATACGCTCAACGTGAAGAGCAAAAAGGTAACAACATGGCCCTCATAGATAACATAACTGTCCGAGAGTAGCGAGGCACAACGAAGGAAAAGAATAAGCAGGGCTGGCGTGAGGAGGCCAGAAGGAGACCACCTATCTTTTGGAGAAACTCCATGAGTTCTCCATAGAAACAAAACCTCAGAAGAAAGTGCTGCAACTCCCAAACACCATGAGAGCTCCAAATAACCTTGCATGAACAGCTGACCTGCAGCTACTACTAGTCCCATCACCAGCCCTGAGAGTATAGGCAACTTCAGGATGTTTTCCTGAATTACTATATGAGACAACTCGGAAAGGACATAGCACAGCATACAGGAAACCCCTAAGATTAAGAGCCCAGCTGCCATCTTGAAAGGGTTGAAACGGGCCCAGGAGGCTCTACAAGTCTCTCTGACAGCTGTCAGATAGTTCTGCATGGAGACAACTAGCTTGGGAGAGGGAAGATGGCCCTTTTGGGCAGCAGCTAAGTACTGGGAGGAAATGTTTGAGAAGTCAGCCTGCAGCTGAGACAGACTGTCAGGTGGGATGTCTTTGGCCATGTTAGAGTAGGTCTCCAAGAAGCGGTGTACCTTCACAGAAAAGGAAGAATCAGACAGAATTACGTTCAGCACAATTGTTAAAAAAAAAATAAATAAAAATCAAACATAATGGAGACAAAAATTTAATTGCACCCTAAAACATAGGCTAAGAGACATTCCTCTAACCTGTTTGACGTTAATCCACAGCGCCTCAGCCTGGCTTAGTCCTGTAGGTGCACCTCGGGAGCCATTCTGAGGAAACAGTGGCAGAAGGACCTGGCCCACACTGCTATAGGGAATGGGAACTCCCAGCAGAAGTGCCAGGGTGGGCACCAGATCAGTCTGAGGTACTACCTCAGGTTCCACCTAAAAAAAATATAAACGTGCTGAACTCCAAATGTATGGAAAGAGTTCAAAGATAACCAAAGTACTAAGATTTTATAGATTTTTTTTTTCTCATTTTATGAAGTGGAAGTTGACCCTAAACCAATTGAGAAAAGGCTAATAATTCTGCTATGAATTCTGGTATTATTCTGATATGGACAAATCATAACAGTGTCATTTACCTGGGATCCTGGTGCTGAAAATAAGGGAGAGGAACTGTAGAGAAACAGGGCAGCATCTGTTTCTTTCTGGCTCTCTCCACCATGATCTCCAGTGTCTGTCATTCCATGATCACCCATCACAACCAACAGGGTGTCATTCTTCAGACGCTTTATCACTGACCTGGGGTTTGCGGTGAGGCAGCAGCAGATAATATTTAAGAGAATATATTAAAACTGTAACAACATGGCAGAGTGTAGGTTAATGAAACTAACAGCCATGCAGCTAACCTGATAACTCCATCCATCTGGGAGAGTTTCTCAGCCATCGCAGGGTGATCCGGGCCAAATCGGTGCCCACAGTGATCAACACCCAGGAAGTGAGCAATCAACACATCCCAATCATCCCCCTCCACTGAAGAAAGCAGACAAAACCTCTTAGCCATTCGTTCAGCCACTGTGTTTACAATGTAAACATGAGATGTGTATGTCTATTTACAAGGTAAACAAAGCGAGATCTTAAACCAACCAGGCAGGTTGCTAATAGATAGGTGAAATCATTCTGCTTACTGGTAGGATAAATGTTTTGGAGAATGCCATTGTCCACGGTGTGCAAGTCCTTCACATTGAAGGAGGGGAAGGGCAGAGATTTGTGGAACTTCTTGGGGAAGAGACTCACCCATGTATCATCCCCCATAAAAACAACTCTCTTGCCTTTAAACCAGGAGAGAAAACACAACTATTAACAAACACTCTAGCGGAAAAGCTACATTTTATGATCATTTCAATTTAAGCACAATATGTAAAGCACAATATGTAAGATTTTTAGATTTAAAATATCCCTAAACCACTAATTCCAAATGTTTGCAACAATGTTTTAACCAGTGTGACGGCCAGTGTCTTCTTTGCATTGCCTGTCAATGATATCATGTCTGCGTTACCCTCAATTTCCGGTTTTACTTCCATAAAACACCAAAGAAGCTTTAATAGGCATAAACATTTGATAGGTGATCAACTTTTTGGATACCTTTACATAGAGAAAACTAATTGTTATAGCTCAACATGGTCAGTTTTATTTTAAGAAGCTAGTTATTTTCTTGATTTACTCTGAGTAACATGTTTGTGCCTTTGTCAAGTGGCTAACATAATCAGAGATAGCTTTATTTGTAGTAACAGTAATACAACATTTTCTCCACCATACAAAATATTTTAACATGTATTAGGCTTACGTTTAGCAAAACAAGTCATCCAGGTTTTTTTAATATGGTGTTCTAATATCGATCTGCATTGTGCAATTAGTGTCTCAAACTAGCCATTGAGCGAACACACAGAGTAACAATATAACAAATGTATTTTTAGTATGATTTGTTTTGACTAAGTAAAACAGCTGTGTTACCCTGTAATTTTAATTCGCCAAATAAAGTGACCTGAGAAGTAATTCAGCACTCAAATTATTTCATTACAATGAAATAAAACAACGTGAATTTAAGTGATCAAAAGCAACTATAGTTAAGTTCAAGTTCAGGGGGCGGATATTAAGATTAACTTTAATCGTACAAACATTAACAACAAAACAAAATGAGCTGAAGCAGTCTGGCTGTGGCATACAAACAATAAAAACAGCAACGTAAAACGTCTCAGGCTCTATGCCCCGCCCTGGTTCATATCACACAGCATAACTTTAATAGCTCATCTATGAACCTGATTTCTGCCTGAGTCCCGTCAGATTGCTTTCCATCAGCTGAAGTTGACAAATTCCCATGATTAAACATTCATTCATGGCATCATCAAGCTACGCCTTTGTTATTGCTTTGAATAAGCGACCTCTAGTGGTGAAACTTACATACTGTGCCTTTAAGATTCATTTAATTCAATAAAACAGTGACTTAGTAAATACAATTCCATTAGTTCCAATAATGCATTATAGTAAACAGAATTATAGGAATATAAAAATGGCAAGTTGCAGAAAAGGAAAATGGCAGTTGCAGATTCACTCACCCACTTGGCCCAGCTGGTGCACTAGATTGTCTTCCAGGATGGCATTGGATGCAAAGTTGTTCCCCACGTCAATGAATGTGGGCAGGGAGCCAGTCGTAAAGCCTTTGATCCTCTGCATGGTAGTGGTGGGCGGATCGGCCCGGAAGGTGTAGAGTCTGGCATGTGAAGGGTGTGATGATGCCATCTCATCTAACACCGGCAGCTTGTTCTCAAACGGTTTGGGTGCTGTGTTCTCCGGATCATAGCGGGTGAAGTCAGCCTTCAGGGCGTCGATGATCAGGACCACTGCCCTACGAAAGCGAGGCTCGCTCAGGCAGAAATCCCCCTTCATCCGGGCTCCTGGAGACAAGACGTCCGCACAGGTACTGGTTCGGTTAACCTCCAGCCTGACGAGAAGGAAGCCTCCCACAAACAGGAAGATGCCCACATAAAACACTGAGCAGACCCAGATGAGGGCGAGCAGGACAGGAAGTCTTCTCATGCTAGGCAAGACAGAGATCATGGAGAATCAATAATATGGCTGGATGTAAATTTGGGGTACATTTCTCATCAACAAAACTGTGATTTAATGAAATTCCAAGCAAACTGAAACATTGGGGTACAATTAGGTGCTTTTAATGGATAAAATAGGCTTTTTCTGAAGAAAATTGTCAGAAACAATACAATTTTCATCAAAAAACAGGAAATTTACTCTAAATTGTAGAATGACAATACATTTAGACAGAGACTCATATACATTACATTTAGACATAACGTTACGCACAGAGACATATAATATTGAGTGCCTTTCTTAGACACCCCAAGTGCATTCACTGTTCACAAAAATGCTGTCTAGTTAGGCAACTCACAAGGTTTTTAGACACAGGCCGACACAAGCAATGCTCCATAGTAAGTCAAAACTGAAACAACACCAACCTTTAGGACTTTCTCTAATGTGAAATGTGCTGTATGAGTGTACCAGGCCAGACTATTATATACTACGAAACGCACAAGAAACTGAGTCCGTAAATGCAGGCGAGTGGCTTCTGTTGTATTCATGTGTGTGTGTATGTTGCATGCATCCAGTACTGACCTTGCTTCTCTGTGTTCGTCCTCTCTCTGTTCAGGGATGTAAATGTACACCGTGCGTCCACTGCAGGGGGACTGAAATGCCCCAGGTTCACCCACATTTGGCGGCGGTGCTATCAGAGACTCAATGTTGCTCTACACTTCGGGACATGCAGCTTAATCCATGTCAGTTTGGTTTAAATATTCATTGATATACATCTATGTTAATATTGGTCATCTCGCAGACCGGTTTCCACTTCCGCTGACATGCGCAGTATGCATGACGACGGTTACAGGTATTAAGGCACCTGTCAAAATAAAAGACACTGCCTGCTGATGGTCAAAATAAAAGCCTCTCTTTTCGCGCAGAATCTGTGTTTGTCGATTGTAGTAAAAGTAATTGTGTGTCCAGTCAGGGTTTTTATTTTATTTTTTTTAAACTAACTTATTTCAATACAAGTAAACACCGTTTAAGATATTTTTCACGTTTGGTTTAAATTAAATAAACTTAATTTGTCCTAAATAAATTGCGTTACTTGGTCTGTAGATGTACTGGGATATTATACTTGGACATTATAGCTGTAAAAGGCCAAACCAACTATACTGCATTTATTCATGACTTAGAACCCACTAAATGATCACTATACATTAAACCTGGAACATGACAAAAGTATAATGTAAAGTATTTGTAACATTTTATTAGGCTAGGGTAGGCCTAGCCTACATGTTTTTTTTTTAATTATTTTATTTTTGTATTTTTTATTTTAATTTTTTTCATTTTCCAGCAATATTTCAAACAAAGTTTACACATCATAATCATACCTGGAACACAGAATATGACAGATTACTTCAGTATATCCTAAAGGGACATGGTGATGGAGAAAAAAAGTTTCTCTGGGGAATGTAAACATTTTGTGAGCAAATGCAAAAATTTAGAAATATAATTTTTCCTCCTATCTCTCGTTTTTCTTGCAGTTTCTCAAGGGAACACAAACATTTTGCAAGCAAACCCGAAATTCTTGGAGGAACGCAAAATATTTGCGAAAGAATGCAAAAGTATTAAAATATAGTTGTTCAATAATGTCCCTTTAGGGGCTCCGCACCAATGTATCCAGCTTTGTGATTTTAAGTGTGGACATTTTTATGTGACCATCATGTCTGTGATTAATTGGAGAACATTTGAGAAGTAAAATGATTTTGTTAAATTACAATTTATACATGGCAGCTAGATCTAAAAAAAAAAAAAAAACAGATTGGAAATATCATGTTGGTGACTTAAACCTATTTATCTATAGCCCATAGGTAATTTTCTCCAAAATGGTACCTTATGAGGCAAAGTGAGACATTAATGTAATCCTCAGTAATCATGCTTATAATGAAGAGTGTATAGATAATCTCACTCTAAACACAACAACAAACCAGTGTGCCAACTGCAGTGACATCAGATCTCTGAGCACAATCAATCATTTCCTTTACTGAGATGCCAAACGCACACCAATTTGGAGAGGAAATGACCATTTACTTTTGAAAACACAAATTAACATCCATCCCATTCTCACACCAGTCACCACTGAACACAATAAAGTTACGTCTGATCACAAAGTCAACAATGCGAGTCATTCAATGTGGGAATAATGCCACATCTGTGTGTCGAGCGAGAGGTGCCATCCAGCTGTTGGCAGGTAAACAGAGACAAGCCTGTTCCACCAGAGCATGTGATGCCAGCTAGCATATAAAAGCGGGATTTAAAGCACACACTGGCATTGGGCACATTGAATTTTAGCACTTTGTTTCAACTTGTTCGGCATCCACCCCTTCATTCGAGATGAGAACTGGTATAGCCATAATGCTCTTTGTTGCAGTGGCAGGATTCCACAATGGTAAGATTAAAATATTGCCTAACAACATTTGTACATTGATGTCTGTCTAGTTTATCTGTTTTTGTTTTAGCCAGTCCTGAAAAAATGGGCTACTGAAGTCGCTGCCTTAATTTTTTAAGTACAACCAATCAAGTCATTTCATTGTACTTTGAAGAATTAGTTGAATCTTGAAAAACATATAAAAAAGGTTTAAATTGCTTAACTTACCTTGATGAGTTAAAGCAATGCATAAATTATTGATCACATATTTTTTTACTGCGTGTCTTGTTTTTTAATTGAATGCATACAACGTATATATATTTGAATATACATGATAATATATATATATATATATATAATGTATATTCAAATCAATATATATATATATATATATATGTGTGTGTGTGTGTGTGTGTGTGTGTGTGTGTGTGTGTGTGTGTGTGTGTGTGTGTGTGTGTGTGTGTGGTGTATGATTATTTATATATTTAAGATAAAAATGTTATATGTATTTAAAATATTTATATCTGTATATAATTTATAATATTATATTATTTATGTAATATATGCTATTATATGTTAAATAATATTAATAATAATATTTATAATGTTTCTGTTATGAATACTAGACCATGATATGTGCAAGGTTGAAATCAATAGCCTAATTGGCAAAGTTATTTAAATAGCTGCATCGTTTCCATTTGTGTTTCTTTGCAATTATCTGTGCTATAGCCTAGTTAACGTT